AAAAATAACAATAGAAAATGAATAAAATAGCTTTAGTACTTCGTTGGGAAGCCTTTGGCGTCGATTACCGCCTGACATCTTCTTGGCATCGAGTCGAGAAAAGTGTCGATGACAGACATCGGGATGGCCTGCCAGACATCTTGGAGTTGGTCGAACTTCTGGTTGGCATTCGAGGCACGGATCCCTCTAAGCTGTCTCTCGACATGCTCCCAGAGGTGTTCGATCGGATTCAAGTCCGGAGATTGACTTGGCCAGTACAGAAGATCCACGTGGCGGCGTCGGAACCACTCCTTGATGTGCTTCGAGGTGTGCTTCGGGTCGTTATCCTGTTGGAAAACGAACGCCCGGCCCACAGTAGACCGTGCCCAGGGTCTCATTGTGTTCTCCAAGATGTCTTCATACACAAAGCGATCCATGATGCCCGTAATTCTTCTCAGCGGGCCGATTGAAGTCCCAGAGAAGCAGCCCCAGACCATCACCGATCCACCTCCATGCTTGACGGTTTGGAGCTGGTAGCTGGGATCGAACCGACATCCAACCGGACGGCGAATCCACTTGATACCGTCAGGACCGAACAGATTGAACTTGGATTCGTCGCTGAACACGTGATTAGCCCAATCCTGACGTCCCCAGTGGAGATGAGCTCTGGCCCATGCTACGCGGGCGATTCTGTTCTTCTTGCTGATCGATGGTTTCTTAGCTGGCCGTCGTCCATGGAGTCCAGCATCTTGAAGACGTCTTCTGACGGTTCTCAGGGATGGTGTGACTTCATTTGGAGTCTTCACGACCATCTGAATGTCCGTAGAACTCCTCTGGGGATCCTCTCTTGAAGCTCGGACGATGTTCCGATCCATGTTCTTCGACGTGATACGCGGTCTTCCAGGCGATTTTCGCTCCACCAAGGCTCCCTAAACATTTTTTTCCATAACTATACTATTTTCGAATATTACCTCATCCCGAAACTGCTTCAAGATCTTCTCGATGGCACGTTTAGTAACATTGAACTGCTGCGCCAAGAGGTCCTTGGAACATCCACTTCTGAAGCCGATGACGATGGCTTTACGGATGTCCTGAGAGATGTTTTTTTTTCCGAGGGGTTTGGCCATGTCTGTAAACAGTTTTAAATACATAGGAGCCAAAACCAACATTCTTAGAAACCATAATATCCAAAAATATAAAAATATGAAAAAAGTGAAAAAACGAAAAAATTGAAAAAATTGAAAAAAAACAAAAAATTTCTGAAAATGATGCAATTTCCTTGTACGCAATTTGTCGTCACCGTGTACGACATGCACAGTAAAATTTTCAGATCGATCCCTTAAGTTTCAGCAAAGTTACTCTCAAAAAATCGTTTGCGAATACCTTTTTGGCCAGTACTGTACCATCTCTTTTCCCACACTACAGTCCTCTTCCTTTTCCTTGGCTTCAACCTCATTGAGCCCCTTGGAAGTACACTGTCTCGCTATGTGTCCAACACCACCACAGTTGAAACACTTCTTTATATCTCCCGGTCGACGTTCGCCCATATCGCGTCTCCCCCCTGTCACCCCTTTGTCTTCTGTACCGCCCGATTTCTCTCCCATCTCTGTCTTCTCTTTCTTAAAATCTCTTCCTTTTCCTTTGTCTCCTCCGAAGAATCCCTTCTGCTGATTCATCCGGAACTCTTCGTTCTCGTGCTGCAAAACTATATCTTTGCACACTTCGTATTGCTCCTCCAACGGTACTTCCAATCTTTTCGTGACTCTCATCTGCGACATCGTTTCTTCTCCAATCTCTCCGAAAGCCTTCTTCGACCATTTTTTTAATCCTTCAAACACGTTCAACGCCTCTGTCCTCGCGTCGCCCTGTCTCTTTCTCAACTTTGCCTCAAACTCTTCGAACAGCTTATTGATCGGTCGCTCATGTCGTTTACTTAGCGATTTAAAAATCGATTTCGCCGGTCCCTTCAAGAACTGTGACTCCAGAATAGCTACTAGTTCCTCATCCGAATCCGTAACACTTTGAAATTTCAACAAGAACGCCCTGCGGAACTCCCGAAAATCTCCTATCCCATCATACACTTTCGGCGCTGGCAACGCGGCTGCTCTCGCCGACGATCTCATCATCTCTCCCATACTTTTCACCACATCTTCTACCATACTCCTTCTCGAGACCCTCGACGCGCTTTCCCACGACTCATCTCTGCTTTTCCCCCTTTCCACCTCATACTCCTCACCTGAATAGCTCGATCCACCGCTCGAACTCTCCAAGTCTTCCATCCGCCGCCTTCCTGTCTCCTTGAGCTTTGGCGAGCTTTTCTGCAAATCTCTTTGGTTTCTTTTCTCCCTCCTCTCTTTTCTCTCACTTTCCAGGTGCCCGATGCTGCCCTTTAGTCCTCCCGACACGGCCTTCTCCTTAACCATTGCCTTCTTCAACTTCTCCACGAGCTTCTCGGCCTCTTCGACCTTCTTTCTCATTGTTTCCACCTCGGCTGCGCTCCGATCCAACTCCTCGGTCAGCTCGAGATTCTTGTCCTCCAGAAGTCTCTGTAAACATTTGTTTGTGCTTTTCAACGTCTCGTTTTCATTTTCCAATTCTATTTTTCCTTCCTCTTCATTATTTTCTTCCGCCTTTTCACACTCTTCCCGCAGCTCTTCAACCGTCTCAACCCCTCTTTCCTTCATCAGCTTCAGCACATTCTTTTGCCATCCGTCACAGCGCACTTCTTCACAGCGCTCCCTCAGCTCTACGCAATACTTCACCACCGGCGCCAGTATCATGTCTTGTTTCCTCGACGTCAGCGCGGTATCTCCCAACGCCTTCTTCACACTCTCCACCATTTCTTCAGACTTCTCGACGAACTTTTTGAAGCCTTTGATTCTTTTCATTTTTTCTCTCACGCTCACCTTGGACTCTTCCATCTCGGTGAAATCTGCTCACAGCGATCCGTCGTTGCTGCTTCCTCCTGCTTGCCGCTCCGCCTCTCCATCCTTCTCAGCCGGCTGTGCCATCTCAACGTCCTCCATTTCGTTCCTCGTCGTTCGTTTTTGCTCTGGAATTCCAAACGTTTTAAACCACGCTTTCTCTTCGCCAATCAATCGATTTATACGCCAACGATACTATTTCCGTAAAATTTATCCAAATTTCACGAAAATTGCTTTTATTCCTCTGAAACTTTTGAAATCGACTGGGTTTTATACTCGCCCAACCGATACCTTCAAAAATCTACAGCGAAACAAGCGTAAACAGACGAAAAACCCGGTTCGGCCCCCAAGTTATCCGATGGTTCGGATTCAGTGGCCTTTGTAAACGATAAAAAGAGATTTAGTCGAGAAAATTACTAATTTATCCTTATCCAAGGACTAAAATAGTACAAACGATATAAAATATTATGGAAAACCAGCAAAAACCCTAAAACACACTTCAAAACTACCCTATAAAGAACACTCAACCAAAACTAACTAAAAACACGACTTGCCACGTCGTCGGCGAGACGGGCGGTACGCGTACGGCATCAGCGGAATAGCGGAGCGTCGTTGCGAGTGGGCGCGTAGTACCGTAAGAAAGGGTTGATGAGTTGGCGGACATGCCTACCGGCAACTTCCCCCTCCTCAGATTTTCCGTTGTATTCAGATTTTCCGTTGTATTGAAGGTCTTGAAAACGATGATGTGACGGGACGAAATCATGGTTCCGGGTCCGAAAAGAACGAATCGCTTGTTCTTCTCATTGCGGAATCTCGTGTAGACAGAAACCGCCCATGGATGTTCACCTTTCTTCACATACTCTCCGTTGATCACTTTTCTACTGTAGCCATCGGCTCCTGAAAAGTGGTTCTCAATAGAGCGCCATTGGTTTCCTAAAACTCACTTTTCCCACAAATCATTTGAGTTTCTTCATTCTCTTGCTCCGAAATCTTTCCAGCTCCAACATCAACGGCAAAAACTACCAGTGGTAGAAGAGAATGTATCTTCATAGTAGAAGATGGATGAAGAAAGAATATAATGATTTTTGGAGAACATGAAAGGGTTTTTATAGGCTCAAAAAATCGTTATGTATATATTATAGGTCGTAAAAATTGTTGAAGGAGGCGGAGCCGATTTTTTGATCAGCGATCAAAAGAGAAACTGAATGAGGTCATCGGACTTGAAGGACTTATAAGGGCAAGGATCTAGGTTTCCAAGAATCCCTTGAATCCCCATGGCCCCTAAAACATATCTGTCATCAAGGCTTCAAAGGCTTTCCGAGCTTTCTATGATCGCGAATCGGAAATATGATAGGTATGATCTTCATATTAACTATTGAAACTCCCAAATATGACACTTCATTTCACACATTCCCAAATAAATTCACATGATTCCAAATAATTATATTTTACAGATTATTCCAATTAGTTCAGCGACATCCAGATGTCGATGGCATTGTCCAATCGAACTCTTCTTCTTGCTCACTTTCCAGTTTATCCCACATCGCCTGACGCTTCGCTCGGTGATTTATGTGACAAATGAAGATGACGTCATCATCTACCTCTTCTACTTTCTTCTTTTGCACAGCTTCAACAACAACCTCCTCTTTTTTCTCTGCCTTTGTCTTATCCCTGTTACGGTAGTCGTTACGGTACTTCTCAAGAGTTTTAGAAGTAATCGTATGAACTTCAGGGCATTTGGTAGAGGGAGATGGTTTTTGTGCTCCCTGTTTAAATCTTTCAAGAGTCATGAAACGTGGATGGCTGGATGGGCTTGCTGTGGTCTCTGAGGTGAACAGCTCCTAAAATTAGTCATTCTAATTACCGCACTTCATCGGATGAACTCACTCTAGCAGTTTCGAAATCGTAGGTATCCGCCATTTTGACTCTATCCTTTGTGCTTATCTTATTATCCTTTAAATCCTCCAAGACCACGTTATGACATGTTGGGACGATTTCTGTGTTGCCGAATCGCTTGGCAACATCCAACATATCTTTGGCATGGAACGATGAGAAGTATTGCTTTGGATTGTAGGTCAAATCGAGGAAAAGCTTGAAATCACATGGGCTGATGTCATTGATAACATAGTTGTCCTTGAGCTTTTTATTCTTTAGCTCATCGAGAAAAAATTGAGATGTATGAGCGAGAAGCTGAAATGTTTTTGATGATGTCTAATTGTTAGTAACCAAGGTTGTCTATGGACTGGTTCAGGGCCTGTACTGGCCGACTGATAACTCGCTTCAAAATTGCAATTGTGAGCAAATCAACATATCATACGATACAGCTAGGAGAGCTTTCCGAGCTCTGTCATCTTGTATGTAGTTTTGCTCACAATATTAATTTTGAAGCGAGTTATAAGCCGGTCGGAATGGACCTATCTACACGTACTCTTTCTACCCATTACCTCCTTGTTCACATGGAATCTTGATCGTCCCACTGTCAACCACAGGTTCGTGATTCCCGGATACTCCTTTGTGACCACCGACAAATTCTTTTCAGCCAACTTCGGGGTCTCCGTGATATGAATATCCACAATGACACGTCCATCATGGACGTACCCATTATCCGGATTAACAAAATCCGCCCATTTCATGAATGCAGGGCATGACATGCAGTTTTTCTTAGATTCAAAGTGATGCTTGATCAACTGGACACTCCGATCCCAGATGTAAACTTGGATATTTGCATCGCATGCCCAGTTTGTCTGATGCGTATGACAATAGGCATCCATCACCAAGTAATCCTCTTTGAAAAATGTACCACGGTAGAGATGGACGGTCCTGAAAGCAATGCGGAATTTCGGAGTGTCGCTGCTGACTTTTTTCTCATGTTTGGTCATTTTGGAACTGTGACCTAATTTTTGTAGGTGGGTTTTTGGCTCTTTATGACAAGGGGGTGGGGCCATGAGAAAAGGGGGGCCTAAGTCAAAAGGGGGCCCATAGGTAAAAATGTGGACTAAGTTAAGATTTACCAATTTTTTCAAGTTTTTCGAATGTTTCTATAAAAATTTCGTACTTTGCGCATGTTTCCACAAAAATTTGTAACTTCAAAAAATTTCAGTTTAAGCCGGTTTTTTGCATGAACAACACTATTTTTTCCATTGTAACTGTGTAATTTGAAGTTATTCAGCTGGCGCCAGATTTTTTCAGGCTTAGTAACAAAAAAAAATGACAAAAAATATGCAAAAAATGACATAAACTAAAATTTTCAAAAAATTTTGAAAAGTGTTCAAAGTTCGAAATTTTAATGGAAACGGTCACAAAACTTGAGAAAATCGGTAAATATCAACTCAGTCATAATTTTTACACTTGGGCCCCCTTTTCTCATGCCCCATNATTTATCATAATATCACCAATGTTTTAACACTTGGTAACTGTTTGATATCTTTTGAAGAAACTGAGATAATCGAGCCCAAAACGCAAGTGATATTTGAGCTTCTATAGAAAATTTTCAAATATTCCAAAATATGAAAATTTCAAAAAAAGAAGTTCAAATTCCCAAAAGTTTTGAACTTCCAAAAATTTCGAAACTTTCCAGAAAAATTCAAAAATCTCTAAATAATTCTAACAATCCAAAAATCCATATTTTTTTATATTTCACTAAATTTTAAAACTTAAACTGTTGAATGTTTTGAAAATCCAATTTTTA